CGCATATGTGTGTCGTCGCTGTGGCTTTTCGCCGCTCGGCCTCAGGTATGCGGATTGCCTCTTCCGGCTGCTCGGCGCGCCCGCCCGGCCAGCAGCTGCCTGGCCTCTGACGGCGCTTGGGGTTTTGAAGCAGCTGTTTCACGGTTCGACATAAATGACACCAGTAATGATGAAAAAGGGATTGCGCTGTTTTCCTTGGCAGTCATATGTCTGTGGGAAAACGAGTTGTTTGCGGAGAGAGTGCTTCGTAGAGCTGGCTTTCATGGTTGTATTCAATTTTAGTTTATAAATGGCGCAGCTGTTTCTCTCCGGCTTTCACACCCTTTGCGCTGTTCGCCCTCCAGACGATCGTTGCCCCCCCATGGCTGGTGAAGACTTGTTCGACAACCGCTCAGAGGCCCCCGCACCTGCGAGCAGCGGACAGAAACGCAGAGTCAATTTGTATCACTATGACTCTGTTGCTGCCCAGCTGTTCAACCCCTATGGTGCTTCCATCGGCACCGATATGGATGGGCAGAAATTTTGGAAGGCCGCCGCTGGCGGAAACAGGAAGGCCGTCTTCCATACCGAGCTGGCGGCAACTGAGGAGAGCGGCGGCGCCTATTGTGTTGGCGTCGGCTTGAGCCGCGTTGCCGAGACGCTGTTGGCGGCAATTGAGCAGCTGGAAGATGCAGATTTGAAACGTCTGCTGGCCGCCGCCCCCCTCCGGAAGGCCAAGGAAGAGGCTGCGGCATTGAAGCCGCGTTTGCAAGTTCTGAACGCAGGCCTTGCTGCGGCCGAATCAGGCGGCAGCTTCTCTGCGCTAAAGAAAAAGCAGAAGACAGGCTGGGCCGCGGGTGAAGAGGTTGACCGTTCAAAGGAGAAGGCGACGGAAGCTGCTCGCGCCTTGCATGCGTGGCTATCTTTGGAGAAGACGCCCCTCCGCCATTTGCTGATCATTCTGGGCGGTCGCGGCGCGTTCTTTGCTGGGCACATGGCCGAAAAGACCGCGCGGACGTGGGTGCGTCACAAGCCGGCTTCGGCAGAGGATGCAATTGCGGCAGCCGTGGCGCGGGCCAAGAAGGGCAGTGAGAAGGCGGCTGCGCCCGTGGGCGGTGAGGGAGGCGGGCTGTTTGAGGATGCCGAGACGTGAGTTCCCTCGCCGTGTGCGTTGAGGGCGAGCCGCTCTGTCTTTGACATCGCGTTGCAACTGCGTGCACAAAGCCGCAGCTATGACGCGCATCGACGCCCCCGGCTCGTGTAAAGATGTTGCCGTCCATTGAGGTTCCATATCTTTTGTGCTTGGACTGGTGGCTGTTGTAAGGGTTTGGGGTGGCAAAGTGTTGGCCACGTAGGCAGGGTCCAATTTGCGTTGGATGTTCGTGCTCGTGCTTTGGGACATGTTCGCACTTTGCCTTATATGCACGCTCGGCCCAAGTGCGATGGATGTTGCAGTGTGTAAAACACAGGACAGAATTTCGGCAGGGCCACAGCACGCACGTCAATCACAAAAACGGATGATCTTTTCAATGTCTTTGTGGCAGGTTGTGCAAAAAGGCACGTTCTCTTCAAGCTTTCCCTTTGCCATGGACGCGCTGGCCGCTGCTGAGGCAAGCCTGCAAGAGCAGGCGTTAGCCATCAAGCCGTTCCTGGTGCGGCAGCCCATTCCTGGAGATGGAAACTGCCTCTATAGGGCGGTGGCTTATCAAACTGCTGCCGGTGAGGCTGTGCATGGCGAGCTGCGTCGCCAAAGCGTGCACGCCGCAGGTCGGCATTGGCGGCGCTATGCCTGCTTCATGGAAGGCGAAGATGAAGCAGCTGTTCTTGCCTGGGGGGAGAACATGAAGGCAAATGCCTGCTGGGGAGACCACATGTCCTGCCGAACTTTGTCCGATTTCCTGGGGCGGCCTTTGGTAGTCTGGCGACAGGCAAATTTAGACCAAGCACCTGCTTGCTTTGTGCCTCATGCCTTGGGGCACTTGGGAGACGTGACGCCCATCTATCTGCTTTTGGATGAGAGGCGCGCAGGGTGTGAGCATTACAGTGCTTTGGTTCCAGGTGCGGGAGCTGGCGCCGGGCTTGAGCCGGTTGAAGATGGTGGAAGGCCGGCTGGCAGTGAAGGTGGCAAAGGATGGGTTCGCAGGCGCTTGCCGCCTTCTTTTGGTCTTGCTCCCAACCTTGGACCTTGGTCGCGGCATGGGCTGGACATGGACACCATGGAGCTTTTGCTTGCTGATCAAGACAATGGTATGACGCCCAAAGACATAGTAGCCAAATATTTTCCGAAGAATCCAGAGAAGCTTCGACCTGTGCGCCGCTGGGGAAAAGCAGACAAAGATCGTATTCGGGACGAATTTCAGCGTCACAAAAGAGCTGCAGAGTTAGATTTCCGCGGCCAATCGCGCAAGCAAGCTGCATCTGTAGTTGCTGTGGGTAGGACGAAATTGGATGTCTTGCGGCGCGCTTCTACTTCAGCTGCTGGTGCATGTGACACAGCTATGGGGTCATGGCAAGCAGAAGCTGCAACGTTGCAGGCGCGATCCAGTGGCCTGCGGACTGCAGAGGAGGTTTGGGGAGAAGAAGCGCTGCAGCTCTTTTCTGTTCTGGATGGTATTCCTGGTCTGCCTGCAGCGTCCACTGCTACGGAGTCTTCTGCAGAAACTGTTGCCTTTTTACATCGGTGGATGCGTGTGGCTTCCTGGACCTTTTGCCCTCACTGTGGTCGTCGATCTCCAACGGTTTCTCTGTCTTGGAATTGGGCCAAGAATGAAGCTGGGGCTGTTTGCAAGCCGTGTGTTGGAGGTTGTGACCCAACGCCGCAATTCTTGGAAGGGCGACAAGAAGATGCTACATCCACCAAGAAGCTTCAAGCTTACATTACACCACAAGCTGCATATTGGGATGCCTTCAGAAATTTCGTCTGCCAGAATGAAAGCTCGACCTGGTCAGATTTGTTTCTTCTTTTGCCCGAGAAGGACATGAAGGCTTTATCTCTCATTGAGTTGAAGGTCGACTTTCAGACCCAGAGAGGTGGCAGGGCAGTGGTGACGAGCAAGCAGAAGAAATCATTGGTGCGAGCTGCTTGGAAGAACCATGACGTGGAGACCCAGTTGCCCAGTGAAGCTAGTTGCAGGGCCTTCCAATTTTTGCGGGAGCACAATTCGACTTACAGGCACTTCTTGGAAATGCATCGGGCCTTGCTGGTCCGTGGCCAAGTGGAAGCTGCTGTGGACTGGCGGTATCCGCGCACCGCGGAGTTGTTGCTGGGGATGCCTGGCATAGAGGTGGCCGCGCGCCCTTTGCTTTACATTTCAGCTTGCTTTGCAGAGACAGATCTTTCTGAGCGCTTGAAACTCGCGGGGGTGATTAATCCCAAGTCGACACCAAGCTTGAAGGATGGTTGGCAAAGAAAAATTTTGTGTCGATCCTTGGATTATGGCAGGGACTTCATTTTGAAAGCTTTGCTGTACGATGTGAGCTTTGCTAAGACTATCAGTGCTGTGGTGGCCACTGCAGCGCATCAAGGCATTTCTCCAGATGAAGCTGCAGCCGACATGCCTCAATTTGAACAATATTGGCACATAGAAACGCAAAAGCTGGAAGACGTTTGTCGGCAGATGGATGGCGAAAAGCCGAACCTCTTCTTTACTGTGGCCCCTGCAGAATGGCAGTTTCCACTGCATCGATGGTTTCTGGATCCTTTGGTGAAGCGCTTTGGTTTGAGTGAATGCCAGGCATGGCTGACTCAACATTTTTACCATTGCATGTCGGCCATTTTGGAAGCTTGCATCTTCAAGAAGAACCAGCTTTGAAAAAGTGGGGCATTGAAGAGGTGCTGCACTACACTTACAGGTTCGAGTTCCAAAGCAGGGGCACTCTGCACGTGCACGCGGTGGCGTGGGTGCAGTATTGCGCCGGTCAAGACTTGGATGCCTTGACCGGCCGCAGCGGCGCCGAGAAGCCCGGGCGCTCTCCTTTAGTTTCCTTTCTGGAAGATGTCTTTTGCTGTGGTGCTGTGGACGTGCAATGTGGGAAGGGAGAACATTGCCTTTTGAGATACGTGGCCGGGTACATCAGCAAAGCCTCTGATGCGTTGAAGTTCCAAAAGGGTGATCGATCTGGTGGGTCGGGTCCAAGTCTGAAGTCACTCACTGGAGAACGGTGTACCGTCTCTTGTGCAAGCGGGCCCCTTTGGAACAAGAGATGGCGATGCACTTTGCGGGGCTTCCGATGGTGAAAGGCTCCTTCACCGGGGATCGGATCTATGCGCCCATTCCGGGGAGCGCGGCTGTGAATAAGCACAGGCGTGCCTACTTGGCCTACCAGGAGCGCCTGTGTAATCCACATCACGAAGAACATGGGCAAGTTTGGGGGCGGGCCAAAGAAGGCGAGCCGGCGACAAAGTTGAACTTCCTGCAATGGTTCCGGTGCTTTCAGGTTGCAACACTCCTGTGATGCCTCCGGAGTTTGGCACTATGTGGTGAAAAGGCGCAACACGAGGGAAAGAGGGGCCAACAAAGTGTGCGCTGTGGCGGTGAACTTCCCCTTTGAGCTCTTGGACATCTTCTTGGGCGCTTGGGGCACCATGTTTCTGGCTGTTCCAGAGGCGGCCTTGGTGGCCACTGACCTCGATCGGGTGCCGGACGGCACTGGGTATTTGCATGCCTTGCTGCAGCATTGTGGCAATGATGCGCAAACATTGTTGTCCGCAGTTGTGTATGATCTTCGTCTCCGCGGACTGGGCGACAACAGGATCAGCACCTTCAAGGCGCGCATCCAGGCCGCGGGGCTGTTGCTGCAGGCGGTGGCTGAAAGAAGGCAGCGGGCCATGGATTGGAGCGCCAGGCAAATCTACCGGCCGCCTCGGCGCATTTGGTCGCCGGAACAGCAAGAGGTCTTGGATGCCATTGCGATGCTCTAGTGCTCTGGCCGCATGATTTTATACTTGTCTCCCATTTGTCTCCCACTTGTCTCCCAGTAAGCTCTGGATGCTCTCAGTGCTCTGGCCGCATGATTTCACGCTTGTCTTCCATTTGTCTCCCACTTGTCTCCCAGTAAGCTCTGGATGCTCTAGTGCTCTGGCTGCATGGTTTTATATTTGTCTCCCATTTGTTTCCCACTTGTCTCCCAGTAAGCTCTGGACGCTCTGAGTGCTCTGGCCGCATGATTTCATACTTGTCTCCCACATGTCTTAGCCCTATGTCACAACCTGGATCCATAAATTTCATGTTTTAGCCCTTGTACGGCGTCCCATTGTAAAGTCAATGAAAAGCAGAATTTTAATGCTTTCCCTTTGAATCTTGTATGTGCGTCTACATGGTGGACTATAGTTTTCTTCCTCTAGGAAATACAGCTGGCCATATTGTTGATCTCATTTTTGAACATTGCTCTGTTTGGGGTCTACGCTGGTATAATTGTATACCACACAAGACGTGTGGTGGTACATTCTATTCCCACCCCTCTCCAGATAGGAGGTAAGCCACCCAATTTTCCGCCTTGTAGGGTGAATCCTACAGCCCAAAACCCTAAAACCTTAACAACAAAAGCCTAAAATCTCGAAGCTTCAAAACCTTAACAGCAAAAGCCTAAAACCACCTAACTCTTCAACACGAGCGTAGAAAACTAGAATTTGACAGCCTCAATCTTTTGGTCGATTTCATTATTAAACGCATTGTTGGTTTTAGGCTTTGCGGCCAAATCGTGGCCCAGACAACGTCGTTCCCAACCTTGCCCTTAATCCCAAAGCCAAACCTTTGACTAATACTTTTGCCTCACAGAGCCCCAGGCGCACGCTTGCGACGGGCGGACGGCCGGCGCTTCGCTCGCTCCCTCTCGCTCGCGCCGCCCCTCCGCCGTCGGTCGTCGCCGCTTCGCCACTCCGCTCCAGGTCCAGGAGAGCCGGTAACTGAAAGAAAGAGGTTGTAGGGCCAGGCCTGAACCCTAAAAGGTTATGGTTTGGGTGGAGCGCCGGGGTGGGATTTGTCCGCGGACGCGTGCGCGCGTGTGAATGGTAAGGGGGGCGTGAAGGCAGGTTGGATAGACCCCCCCCCCGTGAACGCACACGCGCACTTGACCATCGACACCCTAAACCCTAAAACCCTAAACCCTTCTAGCGTTTCTGCTCCGGCGAAACCGCTGTCTTGCTGCCAGTCTTTATAGTTACGCGAAGCCTCTGGTCAAATTGGATGGCCTCCAATGCAACATTCGAGTGTTCAATATAATGCGTCCGTCGCCAAGAACTCAACGAATACATATATCATATATATCTATATATATACACATACAACAATCGATATCTCTGCCGCCTCAAGCTTGGTGAATTAAGACGGGCCAAAAACACGCGTGCTTAATTTAATTAGCCGTATTACGCCGCCCGCTTCCGGGAATTCCCGATGTTGTTCTTTCAGCATATGGTTGGTTTCCAAAATGTCTTCCCCAAAATGGTGCACTCATCGCAAATCCATGGGTGTCCGCTTCTAAGTCTCCGTCGGCTTCTTTATTATCCTATCAGATTCAGATGCTTATTTTTCCTGCTTATTTATCTTCTTCTTGTTGTGCATTCTTCTTCTTCTCCTTCTTCTTCTTGTTCATTCTTCCTTCTTCTGGTCTTGTGTCTTCTTTTTTCCTGCTCTTTGTTTGTTTCTTATTTTTCCTGCTTGCGTATCCTGTTATGAAGAATCCTAGCACCAATCTAGCGCTGCCTTACTGTATCACCGTAGTCTGCCAATCAGCTGCTTATTTTTCCTGCTTGCTTGTCTTCTTCTTGTTATGCATTATTCTTCTTCTTCTCCTTCTTTGTTCTTCGTTTTTCTGGTCTTGTATCTTCTTTTTTCCTTCTCTCTGCTCTCTGCTTGTTTCTTCTTTTTCATACTTGCTTATCCTGATATGAAGAAACCTAGCGCCAATCTAGCGCTACCTTGCTATGTCACCATAGTCTGCTGGGGGGCCCGCTTCTAAACGGAGATCTTGCACTTCTATTAGTTTCTTATAAATTAATTCTTACTTATCACTTGCTACTTTAATGCCTGGACCACATTCATCAACAGAACCTCAGATTCTGTGATTCCCTGAGCAGCTCAGCTCAGCCAACTGATTTAATAAATGTGTTGACAAGTTATCTTTTATCATTTTCTTCTTTGCGCCTTCTCTTTCCTGTTCCTTCTCTTATGTGTCATTATGTTTTTGGATTCTCATTTCATGGAAACAGGGACATAGAGAATATGCATTTAGCCTCATTACAATCAACTGAACTTGGTCCATATGAGTTCATAGAGAGGTATGTATGACCTGCAAAAGTTTGAAGCCTGGTTTGTGCTTTATACACCTGGATACCGTGAACCTGGGTTCTGATTTCGTGTAGAATGTACAATGTAGTTTAATGTTAATCAGCTTGTGTTCCGCCATGGCGTTTGCGACCCTAAGTTTAGTACTTCATTAAGATTCCACTGCCTTCATTTCATGAGCATTGTTCATCTTGCTTGATTCCCGTTCTTTTTGAACTTTTTTGACTCAGTGTGTAAAAATGAATTTCACAGACTTACACCAAACACCTGACTTTTTTTAAAAGAAACCCTAGTGGCACCCAGGCGTCTGAACACCCTAAAACAGTAATATTTAATTTCATTCGCGAAATTTGTCATACTTTTCCCCCTTCTTGCTTAACCCTGTCAAAGGCACACCAAACTTTATCAACTTCTTTTCCACAAATTTTCAATATATATTCCTCCAGTTTTCTTTTCAAGTTTCTCTCAGGAAAGCCGGTTCAAAATCAAGCACTTACCTTTTCTCACGATGCATGGTTGGATTCGTGGCTGTGCTTGGGCGTATACATTGCCCGAGTGAAACGTATCTTGAACAGCTTCTTGGTTCACTGTTTCTTCACCCGCTGTGTGCACAACCTGCTGGACAAGAGTGTCAACGCAGTGTCAAGTCTCATATCTTGTGAGTGATGCACGGTCATGCCACAACGACATCCACTCTACATTTACTCCAAAGATGGAATTCGGTGAAACTATTGGGAACCCTTGCTCTCAATTGGTTTCACCTCAGCCACAGAAGGGCAAGACAAGTGGAACGCTAGGCATAACGCTGCTGAGAAAAGCACTCACGCTGATGGCAATGTGAAGCCATAGCAATCTGTCCTTAAAACTCGAGGGAAAAACACAAACTTGAAGTGCGGTCAAAACAGCTGTTTCTTGACCCAAACTCAGAGGCGGCAAAAAAACACAAAAATACATCATAAGGTCGTAACATTGACATCAGTTTGAAGCCCTGCATGGTTAAAGGCTGCTCAAAACAAAACACCAAGTGCCGGGCTTAGACGTGCCGCGATTGACAGATGCTTCTTCATCTTCCCTAATCCAACTTCCATCCTGCAAATCCGCGATGAGCAAACTGGTAAACCACAATGCTGCAAAGGCAAGTTGAGACGGTGGTGTGCAAGGGGTTGGGTGAGGTGTTGTGAAAGAAAACAATTGGACAAATTCACCGACCAGCGATTGACAAAAGAGTGAAAAGTGAAAAGGTAGCAAAGACATTGCAATGCAAAGCGCTGAGTCGAGCGAACGAACGCTGAGAAATTGAAGCTAATACAACTAGCAAACGAGTTGGTGGCATAAACAGCGGCTCGTCCTGTTGGCTAAAAATATCAATTTCATCTGCGTCACACTTCACTTTGTTCGGCTTCTCTGCCTTAATTGCCTCACGGCAAAACGACAATAACCACCATGCACTTGCACACGCGTTGAACAAAACATGTTCTGGCTTTCATCGCTGCCTGCTTTGTTTGTCTTCTTCACTCAACGTTCACCAAGGCACAGCATCAAGTTTGATTGAACAATAACAAGCTCTGAGCTCTGGACATTCTTCAAATAGGCAATATTGGAGGGCACTGGGTCAATTGGGAAAGCGCTGCCCACCTGCTCGAATGTATCACCGTCCTGCAATTGCAACAGGGGGTGGGCGACAGCCAATGGCTGCGCCGAAGTGCAAAAGAACAATGCGCATGACAAGGAATGCAATGCATTACGCAAGAATTTTGACCTTGGGATGTGAAAATGGCTGAGGGAAATTTCTTCATGAAGTTTCAGCTGAACAAACCACTTCTGTTCTTGACCTACCACTAGTCAAAGGCTTGAAAAGGAACAAAGGCATAAGCTGCTGCATTGACTTTTGCAAATTACAAGCCTTTGATGCTTGAGTGGGAGAACTGACGGAGCACAACCCTACTTTTATTTACACGACCAATCAACACCGGTTTTCGCACAGGAACTTTGCAAAGGAAGAAACAAAACGAACATAGGGATGTAAAAACAAGGTTGCTTGTTCAACAGATGCAACTTTCAACTGTCAACGTCTGTTGAGGTGGTACTTTTTTGCTTTTTCGTCAAAAAGTTCTTCCTACACCTGTCAAAAGGGCATAGCAAAGGAACAAGGGCATGGCAAAACATCATACAAAGTCTTAGACTAAAGCCTCTCTATCAAATTGAGGAACATGTTGAGAACATATCATTCAACAAATCCTGAGGAATAAAAACGCTACTGCTAGTATTTTATGCATAAAACATTTACTTCCCTCAAAAGAACAAGGCAAAGGAACTAGCAAAAAGCAAAGAAACCATATGTTGCGTCTAAGTCCTTTCGAAGTTGAAAATGAAGACATCCAAATAAACAACCATGCAATCGCCCCAACCGTGCTGAAACAAACCACTTGTATTTTAACCTAACACTAGAGGAACTTCGATGGGAACAATGGCATAAACTGTTGCAGTGGCTCTTGCACATAACAATGATTTTGACGCTCGAGTGGGAGAACTGGTGGAGCACAACCCTACTTTATTCACACGACCAATCAACATTGCTTTTAGCACACGAGCCGTGCAAACCAACACATGAAAGGAACTAGGGATGACAAGGCTGCTTGTTCAACACTTGCTGTACCACTCAAAAGGC